ATTTCCACGAATGCCAGAGAACTTAATAACACGACGAAATCCATTTAATAAGCAACTGCAAATGGCAACGGCAGCAATCCAACAACAAGTGCACCACCGGGCAATCACAGGGGGCCATAAAAAAGCGGGATGGGGTTACCAGAGGGGACATAACGTACACTTTGCGAAAAGTTTAAGGTTGAAATTGAGTTGAAATATTAATAGATTAACAGAAGAATGGGTATTTTATGAGCTTTAAATTATTTAAAGATTTATTTTTATTTTTTATTATTATTATTTATTTATTATTTATATTGTTATAATTTTTTTAATTTAACCAGTTTCCTTTTATCTATGTTTAGGTATTTTATAAGCTTGTTATAAATGAAAAATTAAAAATTTTTTTTTAATATTTATAAATTAATTAAATTTATAATATTTAAATTTAACCAGTTTCCCTTTATTTCAGTTTATTTTTATATAAACTTCCTTAAGAATTTAAAATACTTGTATCCCTCAGAAAATGCTTTTCTGCTGCCTAAGAAAACGCACTTGAGAATTATAATCAAAAACATTAAAATAGAAATGTGCTTCTATTATGCGGAACTGTTATGATATATAAATATTAAAAATATTGTACAGATTTATACATTGATTGATATATTGTAAGAAATTTATAAATTTAAACTATCAAAATTTATCGAAATTTACAAATAATTAATAATAATAGCCAATAACAATAACAAAAACCAAATAACAAAAAATGTAATTGAGATTGTGATTTTCTATATTTCCTTAAAATTCTCCCTATTTTTTTTTTTTAATCATAATATACCCCTTTTCTACATATATTACAACGTTTTACAATGGATTATCGATATATATCGATATATTGTTTTTCCTATAAATATTTTAAACCAAAATACAACTCTGTATAATGCTTCAATCTACCAAGTAATTGTAAGAAACCCCTTTTAGGTACCCTAATTTTATTTCCAGTGCATTTGAAGGAGCCTCTTGTGATGGGGGAAAAACCCAACCCGAAGCCATTCCCAATGTGCGATGATCGCTTCCTGTCGATAAGATGCGCCTAATAACAATGCTCTCGATGGCCACAGCCTTCGATGGCCCGCAGCCTGGAAACTGCAACTGGGAACCTGGAACTTGGTGAGCCTCCGGGCCAAAAAGGCCAGGCCGATGGCCAAGATCCCAATGCTTGTAATCACGCTCAACGGCAGCAAACAAAATTCCGCAAATTATCATAAAATTACAATAACAACAGCGGCGGCAGCAAAACCCCAGCCTCGAAGACTTTCAGACTTTAGCAGGAATCATCATCGAGGCAGAGACAAAAAGCAAAGTTTCTGGAGGGGAAAATGCATTATCCTACAACTGCAAGTCGAATATATATACACTCTAGGGGGAATTACAGGACTTAGGAATAAATTCAGTGTGGGGAAGATGAGGTTTTTGAAGATTTTAAGGTCTTTATGGATATGTAATATTTGTAAAGCAAAATAAATTGGAGAATAGCAGGTTAAATACGACTGAAAATTAAATAATTTTCATTAGAATTTAGGAAGAAATATAATTTGTTATCACATTACCTTAAAATTAGAATAAAATCCGCTTAAATTCAATTTTATATATTAGGAAAAAAGCTCAAAAGAACTCTCTTAAATAAAAATATATTTAAAATAAATATATTGTTTTGAAATTTTCCCCTATAAAATTCCCTTAAATATTATTTTAAAAATATTTTCACAGGAAATACACTCATAAATCCTCTATCAAACCCTCTAAGATAGTCATATATATCGTACTGTACAGTGCAGTACATCCTCATAAGGCTACCAACGGCGGCAATGGCTGCTGCTTAAAGTGTAACAACAGAAGTCAATCATCTCTCTTGCTTGGCTGTGGCATCTAACAGACAGCCACGACGACCAGCCAAGACAGTAACCAGTTTTTCACAAAAGGGGTAACTCGAGGGGGCAGAGCGGGGGGTGGTACAGGGCAGGGGGAACAACGTTTGCATGCCAGCAGCAAATAAAACGCAGCACACACGCACAAAATGGTAAATAACAGCAACAACAACCGAGCGGCCAGCTTTTGACGGCCATTGCTTTTGGCGCAATATGGCGGCGTTAAGGTAGGGACACAAGGGGGGGTGTGCTAGAGTGGGGGGAGCCTCGAAAACTGACTGCAGTAACTTTGGCAACAGCATTTGGCTTGCGTGCCAAGTGGCAATCAGTCACGTTGGAAGGCGTTGTCCGCGTGTTGTTGCTGCTGCTGCTGCTGCATGTTGCTGGTGTGCATGTTGCTGCTGCTGCTGCTGCTGTTGCGGGTCCGGTTTCGTTGGCTTTTTTCCACCAGTCCAATCCAATTCAATCCAATCGCAAAACGCCGCTCTAGCCTTCTCTCTCGGCAAGCGTTAGCCCTGTCTCATTCTGGATTGTTGCCATTTTGCTTCTCGGCCAAAATGCGTCATTTCGAGGGAAAAGAAAGCTGCCACCACACAAAAAACCGCAAAATAAAAAAAGGGGGGGGAAAAAAAAACTTAATAATAAGCTCAATTACCAATCCGCAATTTTGCCCGCAGCTCTCTGGCATTAAGTTACCTGCGAAATGGCTCGCTAACCGTTAGTTCGCTCTTAGCCACGTCTGTGCATTTCGGCCAAGTCCCCAAGACAGCGCCTTCGATTCCGGCACGCAGGTGCCAATCGGGTACCGGCCATCTCCTCCCCGATTACGTGACGGAATGCCTGGCATATCGGATCACAGATCGGCAACTACCGGCAGCCTGATTGAGTGCCAATGGTTTTGGATAACCCAGCCACTGTATATTGTTTTTGGCTTGATCAATATTTATTTCAATTGATCAAAGGGAATTGGGGAGGAAGAGAATAGATCTAGGATAGACTACGGGCTGCAGTTTGCAAATAAATAAATGTTATAGTAACAAAATTAAGAAATAAATATATTTATTCTTCTTTTTTAACTGAAACTTGATTTTTTATAAGATTTTTATTATGTTTTCTTCTTATTAAATATATATTTTTTTGTATTTTATGTTTTATTTTATATTTATGAAATATTTTTTTTAGGTTTTAGCAACTTACTAATTCCTACAGGAACTATAGTTTTCCTGAACTCGAGATCTATTTCGGCTACATTTTATATACATTATCGATTATATGTCTAGATCACACACAGCAAGGCTTGTTTAAACGCTTTTCAATTGGTAAATAAATCAACTAAATGTGTTTTAGGCTCTTTAGGTCAATTTTTTTACATTTATAATTAGCACAGCATATTTATTTCTTTGTAAATTAAGAGATTACTCAAGGTATTGTATTCGCTATAAGAGATTTTTAACACTCTTCTTAAGAGTTAAACCTTAAATTATTATATAAATTATATATATTTAGTATATTTTAGTATAATTAAAAACATAAATATAATTAAAACATAAACCAAATTAATTTAATTCAATTCAAACTTTTCTCTTAGTAAAAAGACAAAAAACACACGAATCTAAGCACTTTTAATGTTATTTTTAAGGAAAATATATAATCTTTATATACTTTAGTTACATTTTCAAGCAAAACTGGATTAATAAATATTATTAAGACCAGAAAATAAATACTTAAATATTATTTTAGGTAAGCAAATCTCTTTAGTTAATTCTTCCCTTAGTTTTTCTTGTGCTCCTGCTTTAATAACAGCCTGTAGTGACAGCCAAGGTGTTCCATTAAGATACAGATACGCAATTGGAGCCATCAGATACATGGGATCCATCGGATCGGATCCACGTGGTTCCGCTGACCATTCAGTCGACAGGCTGTCGACGTGGCCCAGTTGGCGGCGGAAACTTGACGGAAAGTCACAGAAATTGTACCGGAGGGGAGCTGCCTGGCGCTTTCCGCTTTGGCCATTTTCCCATTTCCCCCGTTGCATTTCCCAGTGCGATTTCCCTCGGGTATCGCTCGTTTGCCATTCGTCGTCGAATGGATTCGCTGGGCCCGTCAATTAAAAGGTGTGGAAAATGTCGAGTTCACATGCAAAACAACAATTTAAATGACCAAGGCGCCTCCTTCCCATCCCCTACCCCTCCCCCAAGGACGGCAAGATATGGCGGTATGTTTTCTACATACATACAAATATATATTTTTTTTCTGTAATTTTTCTCCGCGCTCTCTATAATTGGAGCAGTTCATTAATGGTCATGTAATATACAAAACGTATGCGGGAACCCAGGGGCGTGGAAAAACGGGGGTCCGTGCTGGCGACAGGAAATGCAACAACACGAAGGCAGAGTAACAAGCCAGCTGGAAAAGGGGTGGGGGGGGGGCAGGTTGAAGGGGTGGGAAGGGGAGGGAGAGGAAAAGTCAGAAGGTAAATTGCATGCGATTTGCAAATTGTTTGACGATTAAGAAAGAGAAGGCGAAACTTTTGGGGGGAAGCAAAATATAAAAAAAACTAGGAAAACCAAAAAAAAAAAAAAAAGTCCAGTCCAAATGGAAATTACTTGTACAATTTCCCTGAAGCAGGGGCAGCCGACAAAAATGGCGCGCGTGTTTTCCAAGAAAGTAATTAAGAGTAAGGGGAGCATAGAAGTTGGGAGAAGTATAGCATAAGACTCGAATAAGGGATTACCCTGTAGAGTTTAGTATTTAGAAATTAAGTATAAATATAAACAATAAATAATAATTTAATTTGTATATGTAAAAAAAGCTTTAAAGCAATGTTAATACGTTTTGAATTATTTTATAAGGTTTCCAGAAGGCAATAAATTAAATAAACTAAGATATTTATATATATTCTTATATATATGTATATTATGTATATATGTATATATATAAATAATAATAACTAAATAAATACCCAGAATACAGGTAAACTCAACTTAGATCTCGAGAATACCTTGCTCTTCCGGCCTGTATATTTCTCATATTTCAAGGAATCTAGTTTAATTTTGGAACTTTTTTTAGTTTCAAATCGAAACAGTAGGCCAGGAGTTCAATGTCTAATTCTATATTCAAAATATCATAATCCTATTGGTCAGTAACATCTCCGATTTTCTCGGGTTCAGAACAAGCTCTTCAGTTGTCGTCACCAGAAGTTATAGTTTTGAAAACGTAAAAAAACAAATATTTTCCAGGTTTTTCATAAAATATTTCTATACGTTGATTTTCCTCAAAATTCTATAAATTAATCGCTTAAATTTTGTCATATTAAAAAAATTTATCAGTTAAATATGGTTTCACCGCTGGAAAAGAACAAGGCACGACCTGTAAGACCAGAGGATCCCATATTGGATCGTGCCTTTGAGCATGCAGATTTGCTATATTCACGTCAGAAGGCCCATGAACTAAGGGAGGCAATGAGAAAAATTATACATCGTATGGGAATACCCGAAGATGCACATATTCAACCAAATCCACAGATGCAGTAAGATAATTAAAGGGTTAATAGCAAAAGGAGAAAGGGGTCGAGGATGAAGTTGAAGGAGGTGAAACTAGGAAGAATTCAAGATAGAAGAAGAAGAAACCGGGAAGGTTTCAAGATAGAAGGAGGAGGGATTCAAGAGCAGAAAGTTTCCAAGGGGAGCAAGTCAGAATCAGCTTAAAACAATCACCTATTGACCACATATTGAAATCAAGAAGAAAGAATACAGAAAACTGAAAGGAAGCTGAAGAAAGTCCCCCAGAATTGGTCACATATTGTCATCCTATGAAGAATATATACTATATACTCTTGAAAAACTACTTCATAAAAAAAAAACACCATAAAGAAACCCCCAAAAACAAGAATCATAGAGCATACCCTTCTTTTTTTTCACAGAATACCCTATTTCAGTACATTTCTCGTACATTTTTTTTTTGCGTTTGGCGCTCATTAAAGTGGAGCTACCGGTTTTCGCTCTCCTCTCGCTTGCTCCTTCACTTGGCCAGTTTACATGGCCAGTAAAGAGTGAAAAAAAGAAACAGAAAAACCCCCCCTTTTACCCGTTTTGGCCAATTCGCTGGCCATTTTTAATGGCCGTCGACCGAACGTCGCCGTTTTTTCTGCTACTTCTTCTACGTTTTTTTTTTTTTTGGTGCAATTATTTCGTTTCGTTGCCTGTTTTTGCGAGTGTAGTGGTTGCTGCTTTTCTTTTAGCGCAATAATTTGCCTCTCTGTGCATTAAATGGATTTAATGAATGCGGTCCTATTAACTTTTTTTTTTCCCCCAGTTATTGTTGTTGCTACCGTTTTTTTTGTTGCTGTTCTGCAACTGCAACATGCTGCTGCTGCTGCTGCTGCTTCTGCTGTTGTTGTTGCTATTATTAATAATAATTGGCCAAGTCGTCGTCGTCGTCGTCGTCGTCGTTCGCCTTTCGTCGTCATCTGAATTTCAAATTCAACTTCAACTTAATTTTTATTGCCACTTTTTGTTGTGGGGCACAAAAGGCCGAAACGCCGAATGAAATGCGTTCGTTCGCTGCGGGGGTAAAGAAGGGGATTCCCCGAGACAGGTTCAGGCTGTGCCGCGGTGTAATTGCAGCCGCAAAAATGGCCGTTCCAAATGGAAATTACCCGCCATTTGCCTGGGGGCCACTAAGAAGAGCAGAAGATTTAAGCAGGAAGAGGAGTCTCTGCTCTTTGGGTTGCCCAAGAATCAAGGACACCAAATAAGACTTCATTTACATGGCGGTTTTTTATGCTTAAATATTGGGATTATCAAAAACATTAGAGTTTTCTTTAAATATGTATATAAAAATCAATTGTTACTATAACAAGTTATTGAATTTTTGAAGTCTGATTAAAAAAAATGTGAACAAAAATCTCAAAGCCTACTTTAAATAAATATCATAAATCAAAAAGGTTTTATCTTTAAATTACTAGAATATTTTAAGAATGATAAAGGAATATAGAGAAATATTTCAAAACTTATTATTATCATAAATCAAAAAGGTTTCTCTTTTAGGTACATAAATTAAGAAAAAAGTGTTTAAAAAATATTAACAAAGTAATCAAAATTTTCTTCAAATAAATTTCATAAAACAAAGCGGTTTTTTTTTAAATAATTAAATTTCTTTAGGGTAATTAAGAAATCTAAACAAAAGCTTTTCCCTAAATAAGTATCAAAAATCTATTTCCCCTAAAATAAATTACATTTCAAAGTTGAATTAAGAAATATAAACAAGAGTCTCAAAAAATACTTTAAATAAATATTTACATATATATATTTTGAAATATATCTAACATATTTCCCTTTAAATTTTTTGAATTTTTAAAGAACGATAAAGAAATATAAACAAAAGAAATATAAATATAATAAATCTATTTCTAAATATTTGTAAATATATTTTTTTATGAAATTTTAATCAAGATTTTATAACATAAACTCAGAAATATATTGAATTAATACATAAGAGTTAATTAAATTAATATTAACCTCTTGGTAAAAATATAATTAAACAAATTAATTGGTAATAGATTATTTTAAAATGCCAAAAAGGTTATCTAATTAATAATTTCCTTCTTTTATTACTTATTTTATTTTATAAACAATACATAATAACCACCAACTTCAACTAGTATCGCAGGCTACTCGAGAGAGGGGAAATATCTGCAGATATTTCCGCTGCAATTGCAATTCAATTTCGGCTGTCTGGCCTTCTCCCACTCGCAATCAGCATCATTCAGGCCGGAAAATGCCATTCAGATGCCCCCCGGCAGCTGCCCGGAAAAATGCAGAGGATGGTGGAGGAGCAGGAGAGAGTCAGAACTTTGGGCGAAGCACGCTCCACAATTACCCCGGCTCCTTCGTTTTTCACCGCGATTAGTGTCCTGCGGTGATAATCGCTTAATACAACAACAGGCAGAGGCTGGGGCACTGGAGGAGCCTCTATAAAGGAGCCTCTATATAGGAGGAAACTGAGAGGAGCTGGGCAGATGTGGCCCACGGTCACGTGTTGGAAGCTGATGCTGCCAAGGGTGGTGCCCTGCACCTTTGTGTTTTTATAATTCGTTTTACAAATCAAATGGTAAGGGTGAGTTTTTCGGTTTTCTCGTTATTCGTTTCCCGAATTTCGTTTTCATTTTTTTTCTTAACTCGCATATTGTTGTTTTTCCCAGTTCATGATTATTATTGCGTTTATTACGATTTCCATTTTTGTGAGCCGTGTGGCAAGGGGCGTGGCCAGGGCAACGCCCCCTTTGCAAGGGAGAGCGCCTCTGCCACAAAATATATATATATTTTTTTTATTCCCCGTTCCGGTGTCAACTTTTTTCTATAACAATGACACACACTCACACACGGGGTGAACCTTAAACCTCGAACCTCGTCGAACCTGGAGGTTCTCCCTTACCCTGGCACTTCCTCTAGGCCATCTTCATGCAGATCCTTGTCTTAGTTGTATGCATTTTTCCCCCCCACTCCCACTTTTCTTTCTTTTTTAGTTTTTTCTTTAGTTTTTTCTTCTTTTTTCCTTTTAATAATTCATAATTTCTCTCGGTGGCCCGCAACATGTAATTTGGCAGCTGATGCATTGATGGCACGTCGTTATAGAGCAGTTGCAATTTGCATGACGGTCGCGGCCATTAGGGTTGGGTTGCTGATGCACTTGACGTTTGGCCAAGGAGGCCATGTAGGAGCTATGGATACTGGCCACAGATCCAGATCGTTTCGGGGTATCGTTATGCAAATTGAGGAGGATCACGGGGGAGGTATGGGATCAGAGAGTGGCGAGGGGGCGGGGCATCAAAGGAAATAGCGACCAATATTGAAGATATACATAGATAAGATAAGGCTAATTGCATATCTGTGGAAAATAAAGGCCTATTACTTTAGTTTTAAAAGGTAGTTGCAACTGAAATTGGGGCTCAATTTCATTGAATTCTTGGTTTAATAACATGTCAAAGATTTGGAAGAACATAACAACATTTAGTTTAGAGTGAGATTAAGGTTATTTTATATAATTTCAAAATATATAAGAATATATGAATAGGTATAAATAAATATTTAATAATTTCCCTTAATATTATTTTCAAGTTTTTAGTAAATATTGTGTTTTTACTGCTTTTATTTTAGTGATTTTTATATTATTTAAATAATACATTTTGATATATTATAATAGTTTTATTAAACTTTAATGATTTTATAGTAATTACCTTAAAAATGCTCTTAAATTTGAACAGTTTCCTTTAATTTTTTAATAAATTTACATATAAATAATAAAAATAATCTTTTTTTTTTATAGTATTCTTTAGCAAATACTATCTATAGCTTAGATAAATAAAAAATCAACCCATTTGTTGTTTCCCTTTTCCATCTTCCCCCTTTGCCCTTCTCCCGCTTGAAGATCACTCGAGTTCGTTGCCTAAGTCTTTTGTTTGCTTCTGAAAATTTTCCAAGCCAGAACAATTTGAATACCGACCAAAGTTATAATTAAAGGCAATAAAAAGCCGCCAAATGGATATGAATATGAATGGCTGGCTGTTGGTTTTTTTTTTTTTTTGTTTTTGCCGCTTTTCCAGTTGTTTTTTCTCTGTTTTAATTGGAGCAACAAGCTGGAAACGAGCCCGCTGCTGATGTTATGCATTCAGTTCAGTGTTCGGTTTAACTTGGGTCGTGTTCCACCTGCCCCCTGGATTCCATACCCTCCTTTTTTTTTCATGGCCACGCCCCGCGCGTAATGTGGGTGCGAATGGGTGTGGAAATCGAGACGGGCTTCGGATACGGATGCGAATGCGTGGTGGCTCTCGTTGGGCTAATTCCGCGGCAGCCGCAATTATCCAGTCATATGTATACAAATTTATGGAGAGCCCTCTTCCTTCCTCTGCTTTCGACTCCAATAATTAAGTGCAATAAAAGGCAATTAAAAGTTGGCTTAATAAAGCCCACAACAAGCCATATGCAAAAGAGGTTAGGCAAGTTGGATAATCATTAAGGAAAATTGAATAATTCTTTTCTTTTTCGGAGGGGTTAGCGATGAGGTCAGATCCTTGGGAGAGTTTAGAAACTTAGGTAAGCATTTTTGGGGGTTAACACCTCACCACTTTTACCACTTTTAAAATAATAGAAAATATCAGAGGAAACACACTCTATATATTTATATATTACAACATTCATATGATAGCTTTTGTTGGAGCAGAAAAAAGGTTACAAGAAAGTTATAAAGTCTCCAAATGCTTACTTGTTTTATGAGGACACCTTGTGTGTGTGGCTAAACCACAACTCATCCGCCGCTTGAAGGACTTACCAACGTCAGCAGGCTGGCAAACCGCAAGGATTCCAGGAGCCCAGCGTTGTTTTCCTTTATAAATACATTTTTCTTTGTGGCTGGGCACGTTACGTGGGCCATTACATGCTCCAGCGACGATGTCCAGTTGTCCAGGGTCAGTTGCAAATGGATTTTTAAACGGCCAGAGGTCCAAGACCAAGACGGAACCGCAGACAGCGTGAAATTATACCAAAAGTAGGTTTTCTAGCACGCACACATGTATGTATGTATGTATTGGCCCGATCACGCATAACGGATCTTTTAATTAGGGCCATAAACGCCAGGCTGCCTTGCCTTGCGCTCGAATCAATCAAATCGATCGACAATCAGCGGGATCGATCGCGAAAGATCAACAAACCTGATCCCCAGCTCATCGATTTCCCCTGTTCCCTTTTCCCTCAAGCTGATTGCGTTTCAGAGGGCCATAAAGCTGAGGATCCTCTTGGGCCTCGACTCGCTAATTATGCGAAATTATTGATTATTGCGGGCTTTTCACTAAACCGCCAAATTGCGTGTACGTGCCGCAGCCCATCGACCTTGAGAGTGG